CTACTTTATCTGCCAACTTGAAGACAGTTGTCATTTTCCCCTGAAGTGACAGATTGAGTTCATTGAGCAGGCTGAATATGTCGCACAAGTAAGCCAGTTTTGGCGCTCAAGTGACCGAGATGTAACCGAGAGAATGCGGTCATTTTTCAAAATAAAAGATCATTCATACTCAGATAATAAATAAAACGGAAATAATTAATAATTTCTTGTACGGCCCGGTACCAATTGATCCACGGACCGGTACCGGTCCGCGGCCCGGGGGTTGGGGACCACTGGCATAAGTGACATGTATAGGGAAACTATTGCCCGTTCTTCAGCTATCAGTGCATGTGAAGATGCTTCCCAGAGTTCAAACGATGTCACAACAAATGAAAGCATTGAATTGACAGAAAATTTCAATGAGACTTTTCTTAGGAATCTATCTTTGTTCTACCTAAAACTGCAAGGGCAGCTTCTTCTTCCAGCTTCAACAATACAGACGATTGTAGAAGAGATGCAAAATGTGCATGAGTTGGGACAAGATTACACTTTAAGTAAACTGAGGTCACTTTTAAAAAATGACGTGTCTAACAGATGATGCTATTGTTAAAATATGTGATTGTGTTAAGGATACAGATCTGTTCTCTGTCTGTCATCAGGGACCACTGAGAACAACATATTCAAGAGCTCAGGCATTCAAAAAGATGTTCAAGTATATAGAGCCTAAAAAGATAATATTAGGAACTGACGAAAATATGACACAAAGGTTTGCTTACTACATACCTGTGATACAGACATTAAAAAGCTTATTAGAATCTGAATTATGGGAGAATTCAGTGTCACAACAGTCTTGTGAAATAGACTCATATGTTTTTGGTGATATAAGACATGAACAAAAACTTCAAGTCCAACCGGTTCGTCGTTGAAAATCCAGGATGTCTGAAGCTAATTCTGTACCAAGATGCTTTTGAAATTGTCAGTCCCCTCGGCTCTGCTAAGAAAAGACACAAAGTTGTTGCAGTCTATCTTTCTGTGGCAAATTTACCTGCTCATGTCCTCAACTCAACTCAACTCAGCTCAACTCAACTCAACTTTATTTATATAGCGCTTTACCACAGCACAGCTGACCAAAGCACTTAACATATCATACAAATATAAAAAACAACACATAAAAAGCTATAAACAATAATATATATTCACTTTTGAACCAGCGCATCAAGCAGTTTAAGTACAAAGGATCTGATGCTCTCACAAAGCCGTGTGCTGTCAACTCTGCAATGTCCAAGCTTTCTGGTCAAGCCATTCAAAACTGGAATTTCTTAAGGTTGCTGCCTGTAATAATTGGTGACAAAGTGCAAAATCCAGAAGATGATGTGTGGCAGTTAACTCTCCAGCTTAAAGATATTGTTGATATGATTTGTGCACAAAAGATTTCAGTGTCACAGGTAGCCTATCTTGACATTGTGATCCAAGAATATTTGGAATCAAGAAAGTGTTTATTTCCTGAGAGTCCACTAAAACCGAAACACCATTTCATGCGGCATTATCCAGCACTTATTTTGAAATTTGGCCCCTTGATCAGGTTATGGATGATGCGTTTTGAAAGTAAACATAGCTACTTCAAGAGATGTGCCAGGCATTTGAAAAACTTTAAAAACATCTGCTTAACTTTATCTGAAAGACATCAGATGTTTCAAGCATATCTTTCAGCTGGGCCAGGATGTGGTCAGCTTCTGCATGTCAAAGACAGTTGTACTTTTCACCCCAACCTTTACAGTGATGCAGTTAAACATGCAGTGAGAGAGTTTGGCTTTTCAGAACACAATACTACAGTATCCACAAGCATACAGTATAAAGGTACATCATATGAAAATGGGCATTTTGTTGTGTCCAGAAATGATGAGTCTTTGGAGTTTGGAGAACTTCTCATTATTTTAATTCAGAATGATGCAGTTGTGTATTTTGTGATGGATATTCATAAAGCTGACTATCGTTCTGAATACCATCTGTATGCAGTGACCAAACAGAGTACAAGGTTGCAATGTCTTAACATTAACAACCTGGTAGATTTTTATCCTTTACCATCATATATTGTTAATGGACACCATGTTGTTCCTCTGAAACATAGTGTGCTGTCAAAACAAACATAATCTTGGCCACTGTGGTGGAGAAACTGCACAAAAAAACATGTTTAGTTAAAGTGATAAAATACTGATTTGATAAATGTAAAAGGAGCAGCTGTTTTTTCTTTTAGATGAACAGAAATAAAAAGTGTAAATCCTCACTCCCACTATACACTAGAAGTAGAGGTTCCTCTTATCTGTATATACTGTGTTTATTTTGTCTGCTTTCATGTGTAATCTAGAAAACTGGTGTCATTCTTTCTTGATTCCAGAAATGACTGACTCGGAGCAAACATTTCTACGCACCGCAATCACTGAGGTCTTGCCTGACCTTCCAGAGGTGGCAAAAGATATTCTAGAAGAGACCTTACAGTCCCTTGGGGTGGAGACGTATGATGATTTTGAGTTTATTGAGGAAGCCGATTTGCTGTCAGTGTTGAGGCCAATTCAAGCCCGAAAACTCCTTTCTGCATGGAAGCTGAGGTGTAAGTAAAGCATTGTAGTACAGGTTGAAGCTGGTACCAAAAGTAGCCTGCATAATAAAATCTGTTGGAATTTGGAATGTCCACACTATTTTCTTGACGATGATTTAGTGTGTATGTGTTTTTGCAGGCCAGACACCTGAAAGAAGCAGCACATCTATTGATGCCTCGCCAGGCAGGACCTCCTGTGTCCTTGCAGTCTCTTTCACCCAGAAGTTCATCCTCAACCTCTTCCAACACCAGTCAAAGTCCTGATATAGACTGGGTGGATTCCTTTATGATACCTTGGGATAAGTCCCCAGAGGAACAGATGCACTGATACACCCTTAATGTCCAAATTGTTTTGGGAAATGTTTTAGGATTTATTTTCTTTAATTATGTTTTTGTTGTTGTTCATTACTTTTTTATTTTTAGGACGATCCTGTTATTCTTCAAGACAGTTCATGCTGAGTGTGGATCGAAACATTGTACAGGACAACATCTCCTCCTTCGTTTCTGCCCTGTGCATGATGTTTGGGAGCTATTATTGCTTCAACATCCATTACCCATCAGAGCTGGCATCTACCCTGGAGTTTCTGCAGAGGTGTGTCTTTGTATTGGCTTTGTCCAGCATATTCACTTTATTGACCTGAGACAGATCTAAAGTAACAAGTAACTGTTGCAGTGACTTGGGGTTAGGAGACTTTACAATAATTGTTTAAAAATTTCTAACTTAAGTTTTTTGTTGTTAATGAAGCTGGTTTATTATTAATGCAGTCGTCTGTTTTTCTTATGTTTTCAAAGGTGTTTTTTGTCCATCAACTCAGAGAAGGGCACTAAAGTGGAGAAGACAAGCACAACTCATCTTGGTCCTTACTATGATCCAGGAGCTCTCAGATCATGAGTGGCGTGATGTCTGAATATGGACTAAACACAGTAAGATTTGTGCCCCACTCACAATTTAGATTTTTTTTTTTCCGGGTGCATTATCTGTTCTTCAGACTAGAGAAGCAAGTAGAAGTTTGACAAAATTGTTGATGTATGCTGTTGTTACTGTGAGTTGTATTGTCTTCTGTTTCCTCATTTGCCTGTATACCTCAGTTTGAAGAGCTTGTTTGATAAGATATGAAGGAGGCTGAGCGCCTCTGCAAGGTATGTCTTCAAAGTACTGTAAATTCTTTATAGCTATGCGAGCGCCCACTGGCATCATGGTAACAGCAAGAGGCTGTGGCTACAGTTGGGACTTGGCCCTGCTGTAAGATATTGGTGCAGTTATACAATTCTGTTGACTCTAATAAGGACATTCAGTAATCCTTATAGGGTGTTAAAATTCTTACATTTATTAAGAAAACCCACTTGTCCTCAGGAGATTTTTGGGAGGTCTTCTCCCTCTCTTTATCCATCTGTCCTCTTTCAGCTTGAATAAGGTGATCACTAATGTCATTGCTTTCTATTCTAAAATAAAGTGCATGTTACAAATATGTGGAGGAATGACAGACTTTTTGTTCAGTACTTTGAGCTCAATAAATTCTTGAAAAGGCATGTTATTACTTGATTTGTTTATTCTTTTCATATATCTACCTTTCAGTTTTTAAATGGTTAATCTGTGTACACTGGATTACATTTTTCACATTTCTGGGAAAAGCCAAACACTTGTAAGAAGGTAGTGCAGGTAGTGCCTGTAATAGAGAAAGTGTTTCTATTTACCACTGAACAACAATTATAACAAGGGCCAGAGAACTACTGTTATACAATTTCACAGTTTTTATTTGAGACTATTATAGAGGAGTAATAGAACAAGGTTTTATACTTTCAAACTGCAATGAACACGTTTTACAGAAAATTCAATTGCATGATTTAGATGCTTTCACAGTAAAATCATCTTTAATACTGCAAAACACACTATATTATAAAAAATTATTGCATAACATTTACAGAACAATGCAGTTAAAAGACAGTATTATGAAGTTTTTACAGTTAAATTTTGTTGTTTGTTTGGTATTTTACAGTGAAATTGAATGAGATTTCATGTACAATAAGCAACAAATACATGTAAATCTTACAGCTAATTCAACAGAAAAGGGCAGTTAGATTTACCCATTTAAAATGTAATTTTTTTTGTAAATTACAACAGTTTTAAATTGTAAAATTTACAGGTTGTCCTGTAAATCTGTTTACATTTTTACCGTATTTTTTACAGAATTATTCTGGCAACCACAGCTGCCAGGTTTTTTCCGTAAAATCTACGGGATTTTTTTTACAGTGTAGCTATATGCACCGCCAGCTAAAATAACATTTACTTTTTATATTAACATTGTGTCTACAGATTTCCAGTACTCAAAGCGCCCCTGTTTCCATTGGGCTCCAAGCAGGCAGTGAGCAGAATGGCCTGCAGCCTCTCAGGTGCGCCAGCGTGTGCGTGTGGATCTGAAATGACAAGCTGCACATGGTTTCCTTTCCACTACTAGATTTTTTTTTTTTGTGGAGAGTGCATCTGTAATCCATTCTGCGTCGCAGATCCCCTGAGGAGTTGATGGTGGTTCTTCTGAAGTGGTTTCGTGGTGTTAAACTGCGGACATGGATGTGGCAAAGAGAGGTAGGGGCTCTTTCCAACGTCTCCGAGGTTTTGTATGCACTGATCGCATTGCTAGAATATGCACATTATACCCTAACACCTAAGTTACCCAGAAGAAATTGGCTATGAACTGCGGTGCAGTAAAACTATGTGCTGAATACAGACATTTGCAAAAATAGATGGAATAGCTTTTTTTTTCTGAAACAATACGTGAAGACAGTCTGTGTCCCTGAGAAGTTTGGTTAAACATAGTTTAATCAGCATACTTCTCACAATACCTACAGCGCAGCTGGAATAATATTCAAAGTTCGCATGATAGGACAGTCAGTTTATGGTCTCAGTTGCCCATTATTTTACTTTATATATGCTTGACATAGCCTGTGTACCCGCAGGCTTATTCTCTGCGCAGGGCCTTATCAACAGGTGTTCATTGGCCTACGTGGGGATAGTGCTCAGCTACACTGCCCCCAATAAAGAAGTAGGTCACATCTGGCCCTATAATATGAGGCCTTCAGGAGACACTACCTACAGTATCTGATACTGCAGCCACATGTCAAATCTTTTCTCACATGTTTTGGATAATAAATTCTGAGCAAAAATGAATTAATCACATGCTGAGACTGAAGGTTGTACACCAGCTGAAACTGAGCAGAGGGTTTGTTATAGCTCTGATCAAATGACAGTCAAGGTGTCAACCAGTATGTTAGCCCCACTTCTCTATTAGCAAAGCACTGTGTACTGTATAATATATTTACTGGTTCAAAATTAATCAGTTCAGTCCACACATTTTTAAATAGTCATATACAGTAATACCCATGTTCGAGATTCCACATTCAAGATGCTTGAAAACATTGTGTATTCCTTTGGCAGATGCCCCACCTGGGGGCGATGGAGGGAAATCGGACACCCTCGGCTCGACTGGTTCGTCCAGAAAAAGAAGTGGTGGTGCCAAGAAGGCGATGCAGACAAACAGGTCTGCCCTCAGGGCCCCCCGAGCCCTCTGCTGCCTCACCCTCAGCAACCCCATCCGCATGGCAGCACTGGCCCTAGTGGAGTGGAAATATCCTTTTTTCTGAGTCACTTATTGTGTTTGTGTATGTTTATCCAAAAAGTCCTGCAAATGATGCCAATATATAAGATGGAAGAATGCCGTCACAAGGCTTGTTGCAGCCTTAACTGTGATCCTCAAGCCCTTCGATATTTTCATTCTACTTGCCATTTTTGCCAACTGTGTGGCCATGGGTGTTACCAAGCCTTTCCCGGACGATGACTCTAACGACACCAATCACAAACTGGTGAGTTTTCAGTATATAAATACAGTTTAACATTTTGTGCGCCCTACGGTATATTCCTAGTTTTCAAGGCTTGACGCTCATTAAGAACATCTCCTCTGGTTCCCCTGAGAGAACATTCTTTCTCAGGTCCTCATAGTCATTTGAGGACACTGATAGACGTGCATGGTTCATGGCAAAAGAGTATTTAGTACTGAACTTAGTGCGAAGGTAACTGTGTTCTGGTGGTGGTATCTGTGGTGTGGTCTCAGCTAGGTGGCAGTTACCATGGCCTCATCTCACTCCCCGTTTCTCACTTCCTCTGTCGCCTTTCTAATGATTTGTAAATTATACATGGTGGTCAAAGGGAAAACGAGCCTGTCTTTATTTCCTTGTAACAGATTTATATCTTTACAAAAATGTACATTTGTTGTTAAGGTTATTGTATTGTTCAAAAACAATCCTTCAACCAGCTGTTCACAGAGAATTTAGATTTTAGTTAAAAGGGTAGGAGACACACACACACACGCGCGCAGCAGGATTCTCTCCCCCCTCTCTCCTTCCCCCCCTCCCTCCCTCCCTCCCTCCCTTTGTGAACGTGAACGTTAATACACAATGAAACAAAATAAAAGACCAGTGTACCAGCCTACCTTAAAGACTCGGCTCGATGCTGACTTGTCACAAAAGTTAAAGGAACAGGTCTGTAATTTGTACATGCCACAATGTACGATCATTCAAAATGTTGCGCCCAGTAGCCGTGGACGCGCCCATTCACACAGTGTGCGCAGTAAATAGCTATAGCTGCATTTGGAGCTCGCCCCCTATTCCATTAGGCTCCAAGCAGGCGGTGAGCAGAATGGCCTGCAGCCTCTCAGGTGCGCCAGCGTGTGCGTGTGGATCTGAAATGACAAGCTGCACATGGTTTCCTTTCCACTACTAGATTTTTTTTTTTTGTGGAGAGTGCATCTGTAATCCATTCTGCGTCGCAGATCCCCTGAGGAGTTGATGGTGGTTCTTCTGAAGTGGTTTCGTGGTGTTAAACTGCGGACATGGATGTGGCAAAGAGAGGTAGGGGCTCTTTCCAACGTCTCCGAGGTTTTGTATGCACTGATCGCATTGCTAGAATATGCACATTATACCCTAACACCTAAGTTACCCAGAAGAAATTGGCTATGAACTGCGGTGCAGTAAAACTATGTGCTGAATACAGACATTTGCAAAAATAGATGGAATAGCATTTTTATTCTGAAACAATACGTGAAGACATTCTGTGTCCCTGAGAAGTTTGGTTAAAGTTTAATCTGCATACTTCTCACAATACCTACAGCGCAGCTGGAATAATATTCAAAGT